CTTATTTTTAGTAGTCCTTCTAAAGCTCAAGTCTTAAAACACCACGCAGAAGAAAAATATACAAAACCTAAATAATCCTTCTAAAGCTCAAGTCCTAAAACACCACTCTGAATTTCTCATTGAAATTCATAGATAGTGTGAGCTAAGCCAACAACAACAGTATCCAAAGGTAAAGAAGCTTATAAAGCAGAAGAAGGAGTAGAAAGGGAAATGGAGCGACGCGAAAAAGGATCAAGAGTGAAGGAAGAAACCACATACCTTCATGTCGTCGTCGGAGTCACGTCAGAAGCTCTTCGTTTAGGTAGTTCTTGAACTCTCTCTATTTTTTTGTTGCTATTAGATAAAGTTCCTTTTGGTTATCAAAGTTCCTTTGTTAATCACTTGGTTTGTAAGTGCTTTTGTTTTGAATTTCATTTTCGGGTGACTTAGGTTTTTTCTGTTTTTTGGTTTCGATCTAGGGTTCGGTGGGTTTTTTTGAGCGTTTGGAGGCCGGATTTGGAATCCTTGGCCAAAAAGAAGGGAAGTTGGTGTTTGGATATTTGGTCGTTGAGAGTGGTGAACCGTCGGAGGAGAAGGCATCGGCGGCGGCGGTCATCTCTCTCTGACGATGAAGTGAAGAAGGTGAAGTGTTGAGAGAGAGAGAGAGAGAGAGAGAACGAGAGATGGAGAACAGTGTGAACAAATGAATCATATTTTGTTTCTGAACATATGTTATTTAGTTTATTTTGCCTACATGTTTAATGTGTATGATGGTAGCGGTGAAATATGTCACCGCTTTGGACACGTCTCGCCGTCCAATGTTCTTCCAAGTTTGGTTTCCCACGCATTCAACCTCAGATAGTCAACCTTGCACCCTTGCCATTATGACCACGTGATCGCTTGACCGAGTCAGATCATCTGATCTGACGGTCATGGTCATGGATGTGCATCAAGTCTCATGGAGTTGCGCCACACTGGATACCCCATCAGCTTGGGCCCTTTAACTAATGAGCCTGAGGTTTTTTTATATACACCCTTCATTTCTGCTTTCTACAGGTCCATTCACCTTTGTTTTTTTTATAGATTTTTCATATTACTTTTATTTATTTATTTATTTGTTCATTGCTTTATATATATATATATATATATATATATATATATATATATATATATATATATATATATATATATATATATATATATATATATATATATATATATATATATATATATATATATATATATAAGAGAAATGTTAGTATTATTATTTATATTAAATAATTAAAATATTAATTAATTTTATTAAATATTCATGTTTAATTTAATTAGTAATCTTTGTATATAATCTTGTATGATTTAGTGTGTGATTTTTAATCGATTATCTTGACTATGTCATTGCTCATATCTTATGCTCGTGTTTTTTATAATAACATATAGATCTTTGCTTCGCCTTTATATATTTAAACCATTTTCAAAATAAATTCTCGATTCGAAGTCGAGTCATTTTTCACCTTTTAAGTCGATTGCTTATTAAGTATCGTCATCAACGTTTTGGTCACTATACACAACATTCATAGTGAGACCTATTCAATCAATTACTTCTAGTTGGTCGATTAGAAGACTAGTCCACTTTACCTGCGTTCATGTGATAAAAATCGATTTAATTGCTTTATCGTTCCCGTGACTCTCTTACTTATGTATGCTTATTGATTGGTTGGTGTGTTTATTATTCATGCTTCTCCCCATTCAAAAATATGTACCCCCCTCACCATGAAGAGTAAATTAATTTTATCGTTTTCTTTTATTTGCTTGATTATATCTTGTCATTGTATGATGTTTGTTCCAAACCCTAAAGCATACTTGATCCATATATCAAGCCCTACCCACTCTTATAAGCTGATTGCCTTGTGCATCGCCATCGCCCTTACCCTACACAATTAGGACCTCCTTACCATTTAGTTCAAATCCTTAACCGTTTCGCATACAGATTTAAACCTTGATCAACATCGAGTATTTTTATCAAAGTCCAAATTAATTAACTTAATTATACATAGACCATATTTCTATTAAAAGATGAAAAGGGAGTTGGAATGGAGCCTTCGATTTCTCTCCTCAATTGTTTGGGCCCGATGAGTCTTTCTTACGCTTGAAAAATTGTCTTCTCTAAAAGATTTATAATATGTTCCACATCAAACTATTTTAATAAAAAAAAACAAATCAAATCTATTTTCTCAATCACTTAGATGAAAAAGAGAGAGAATCGAGTTTTCGACTCACTTTCCCGATTGTTTGTGCCCGATGAGCCTTTCTTAAGCATTCGAGTAATCGTCATTCCACTCATTCCACCTAAAATATCTCCACACTTAAAATATCTCTGAGATACCATTCGCGAAGGATCGTGCTTTTTTTGTGGTACGACAACCTTACTCTCCACACTTGAAATATCTCAAAGAAGCAGAAACTCCTCCCCTACTCATTCCACTCCCACCTATAGCATTCTGTTAGGACTTTTGATTCTCTTTAGCAACTAGAGTGACATATGGCTTACAATGATTCTGACTCTTACTCTTCTTCTTACTCACACTCTTGTAAGGAGCAAACATGGCTCTACTATCCTAATCATAAATTCTAAATTTATTCACCAATACTGAGAAATGACGGATCTCCTGATATCTAATGAACTGCTTAATCTCAGGACGCATACCACTTTTAAACTTCACACACTTAGAACCTTCAGCTTCCACACCATTATAGTGAGGACAAAATCTTGACAGCTCCTCAAACTCAGCGACACTTATATTTCCCTGCTTTAGTTCCAAGAACTCTATCTCTTTGCGACTACGAATATCAGTAGGAAAATACTTGTACAAAAACTAATTCTTGAAATTAGCCCAAGTTATATCCACATTAGCAGCTTCCATCCTCTGAAAGGTATTCTCTCACTAGTACTCAGCTTCCTCTGACAACACATGTTTTTCGAACAACACCTTATGTGCATCAGTGCGTGTCATAACTTTGAAAATCTTCTCAATCTCTTAAAGCCAAGTCTGAGCACCTTCGAGAACATACCTTCCCTTGAAAGTAGGAGGATTTTTCTTCTTGAACTTTTTCAACCCACAGAAATCATCAATTCCATCCTTCTGATTCTAATTAGCATGCAACATTTCATTCTCCTGTGCCATCACATGAGTTATCGTCTCAAGAGAATCAACAATTGCACTATCGTTCGTGCCAGACATTTCTTTCTGCACAACCATCTGAAATAAATTAACCAATTATAAATAATAGAGCAAATAAATCTTACAGGAACCAAGAACGTCAACAGTGTTTAACACACATGTTGCGCCCAAGGGTATAAACAATTTCACAAAACCTAGACTGAACGAACCGACCTGCTCTGATATCAACTATGTCATTAACACTTATATCATTAATAGTTCCCCTACCTCAAATTTATAGCAAAGGTTGAAACTTTTGACAATGGTTCTCTCCTTCAAAAGCTCCCCTAAGGTTTTGCCTCCACTTAATTTTCTCACAACTTCTACATACCAACATAACTATGTCCTAACTTTGCTATCTTAAATAAATAAAACATAATTTCTAATTTATTTTAATTAACTCCACACACTCCCTTCAATTCTCACTAATTCCACCATTTTTTTTTAATTTTAATTCTCACTAATTTTAATTAACTTCATTGTTTTGTTTGCATGAAGAAGACTTTAGGATTGAGAGTCCTCTACAACCTTCTTAGTATGCTATGATTCATCTTTTATCGTATTACATTGGGAAAAAATATTTTAAGTTAAAGAAAATAACGAAGAATGCGATGTATAACCAACAATATTATCACATCTTAATCATTTGAAATTAAAATTTAATAGAATAAAATAATTTGTCTAATCTAGTTATGTTTAAGTCTAAAATTTATATTTTCAGTAAATTTTAGAAGGCTAACTTTTTGTAAATATACAGAAATATTTCAACAAGGCTAATCTATCTCTACATCAATTCATCAATATTTGTTTTTATTGGAAGGCAAACTCCCTCTTTACATACACGACTCAATGAAATGTATCTTTTGATTAATTTGTTAAAAAACTTACTATTTTTTATGCATTTCCAAATAAATCTTTCTAAAATAAACAAATAACTAGTTTCCATAATTCATTCCTTCCCATTTGTTATATATATCCAATTACATATCAAATTTCTATACATAAGAATAAGAAAATGAATATTTATATGAAAAAATAATATATTTTTATTTTTGCATATGCAGTCGATCATATCTTCTAGTTGTTTCGTATATTTTCTAAAATGCTCGTACAAATATCAATATAATTAAATATTTGCGTAGTTTTTTTATAAGTAAAATATATATTAAAAAGAGTACGAGAGATATTTAATCTAATGAATATAAGAGACACTAATTACTCATTTTTTATAAAGAATTATAGAAACTAACTATAATGTAAATCAACTGACCATAAACATTTTTGTTTCGTCCTACAATGTCTTCTTAATAAGAAGCATTTTTCATACTTAGTTTGATAAGTAAATAAATAAATAATAATAATAATAATAATATTATTATTAATAATAATAATAATAATAATAATAATAATAATAATAATAATAATAATAATAATAATAATAATAATAATAATAATAATAATAATAATAATAATAAGTGCGTGAATCTAATAACACTTATATTTGTCTTAAAATAATATTTTAAAAATTGAATTTTATGCAATAATGTAGTCTTGAATTTATATGTTGTACGAAGATACGAGATCTCGATTTCACAATTAAATGTATTTTTAAGTCAATTTGATGATGTCATACTATAAGTCATCCAACCTTTATTTATCGATCAAGACTTGTTGACGAACAATTTCACATTTTCTTTGATAGAAAGAAAATAGGCCTCTCAAATTAGGCTATTTAAACGACATAATGTTTTGAGATAGATAACAAAATAAAAAGTTTTCTGATAGTTTTTTTTATCGCCAACCATGAGAAAGAGAGTGAAACTTGCGTTTATGGTCAATGATTCTGCAAGGAAGATAACTTATACCAAAAGAAAAAAGAGTCTAATAAAAAAGATCGATGAACTCACAACTCTTTGTGGAATTGAAGCTTGTGCTATAGTTTATAGCGATTTTCATTTGGAGCCAGAGATTTGGCCTTCCCCGTGGGAGGTCCAAAGGATTGTTACAAAGTTTAGAAGTTATTCTGAATTTGAAAAAGGTAAGAAGATGTTGAACCAAGAGAGTTTTTTGACGCAGAGGATTCTGAAGTCTAATGAACAATTGGCAAAATTGCAAAGGAGCAATTGGGAGCAGGAGAAATCATTGGTATTGTTTCAATGTCTTATTAAAGAAAACTTTATCAACACTTTGAACACAAATGTTTTGAATGAGTTATCATATGATATTAATGAGAAGCTGGCGCAAATTACTTCAAAGATGAATCAACTGAATACAAATGTAACCACTTAGAAGAGGATGTTGATTTTCATAAGTATTGGTTTTTTTTTTTGTGTGTGTTCTATGTATTTCTCAATTGTTATTTTATGTTTGGTCTCAATCATCATCAGATGTAAAAATAAATTGTCATGATTTAATATGAACTTTTTTTTATGTTTTTAATAGTATTTGTTTTTTAAATGTGTCAATTAGTTGAATGAATATGAAATTTGTTTGGATAAACAATTTATTTGCAGTTTATAGCACAAATACTTATCAAAATGTTTATAAATAATCTTGCTTAAATTATTTTTATAACAAAAGATAAAATAAATTTATATTATTTTATTTTTGTTATAAGTTATTTTAATAAGTTATTTTGGAGTGTTTATAAAAATAAATTTAATAAAGTATATGGAAAGTGTCATAATATATTTTGATAAAGTCTCTCAAATAGTGTCATAAAACATTTCAAATTTAGTTATATGTATTTGTACAAGATAACTTTGAGTTTATTTTAAAAAACATAACTTTGGTAAATAATTATTTTAAGAATAATTTTATATTTACAAAATTATTTAAAATAAGTGTTTGTAATATTTAATATATTATGCTTTACAAAAACAACTTAACCATTTTAGGAGAAATATTTTAGTATTTAATTTATAGCAAAAATTAAATTTTAAACGAAATTCTATAAAAAGACGAACGAATATTAGAAAGTGTGTCATAGTTTTGAATAATAAATACTTTTGTGAATATGAAACACACACAAATATTATTTTAATTATAAATTCAATTTGATTTCTTATAATTCATTTGCGATCCAATTTGATCTATTATGACAAATAATAATAATATTAAAAAATACAGTTTTTTTTATTATATATCTTGATATACATTGATTATATTTCATTCATTGAATCAGTATAAAATACTATTAAATTAGTATGCATAAGAAAATAAAAGATATTGATAATATATTGGGTTATAAAAATATTGAGTGAGTATACATTAATTTTTTATATAAATTATTAAATTATATAAAATAAATATTTGGTAATATGCTTTTATAGAAAAATTTGAAATAATTAATTTAATTGCATACAAATACAAGTAAAAGTAATAAAATAAATACTTCTTCACAATGATAAAAGAAATTATTTAAGGTCATTTAAGTATTTCTATTCCATTTGTAAGGAATGTTGTTTTTGTCATGTCATGGTAACCTATTGTATTTATCCCCTTATATTTTTATTTACTTTTAATTGTAACAAACTATAAAATAAAACATATTTTCTATTAAAGTAGAAAACACTGTTTTAGCGTCAGTCAAAAATCATCGCTAAAACGTATAAAATTAACGCTAAAGAGTGTTAGCATTAGGATCGGAATAAAAAAATATAAAGCCCGAAGCAAAGTGTAGCGTCGATTAAGGATAACACTAACAGGATGCTTATACCCAAAAGTTGACACTATGGTACAAACATGCTTAATCGCGTCATATTTTGCTTCAGCCATTCGCGACATTATAATGTTGTGTATTATTCATTAGCGTTGGCTTGCGGTGGTCTTAATCAACATTATTTTTGTTATGTGTACTTATTAGTGTCGATCATAAGCGACGCTATATTATTGTTTATTGTTCCTTAGCGTCGGCTTTCTACGACACTAATATTCTAGACATAACCATGTAGCGTCAGTTATAGCTGATGCTAGTTTTTTTTTACCTAAACCTATTTGGGTTGAAATTTGTTTTTAATTTCTACTTTCAAAACCTATTTGAAATAAAACATACATTTAATTTCTCTTTTTAAGATTTTCCAAACTAAATGGAATAACAATATTAGGAGGCAAAAACCTACTTTGTGAAAATTAGGAGTCTATACACATATTAATTCCACAATATTCAAAGAAACAACAAAACTAACACTGTTTAAAATAATAACAAAATTTTGCTTTTGTTTTGAATAATAACTGAATATTTATCATTACTATATTTTTAATTTTTAGAATGTTATAATAACATAAAATATATTTGAATCATTTATGTAAATTCTTCAAAACTTATCATCCAATACAAATTTTGAATTCTCCCAAATTAAGAGGATTTTGTGTTATGAATAAAAACAAACCCTAAAAAATTCTGTCAACCAAAATTTTTCAATTCTTTCCCTTCTTTCAAAGTCCTATAATCCCCTCTCCTCCAAACTCTCAAATAAAACCTTACAAATAGGACACATTAGAAATTAAAGGAAGTTGAGTATTCATTACTTATTTATCCAAACTTGTTTTCTTCTTTTGTAACTCCCATTACCCTACCCTCACCTTTTTTTTGTAAAGACCTTTATAGGAACGATGTGGCAATTGATGTCATGGTAATATGTATGTTCATGAAAAACATGACTTTTGTGTTATGTTGTGCCCTCTGACTATCATAAGAGAGAACAAATTGTCTAACACATTATTGGAACAAATCATGAACTAGGAAAAAAATCCATTTGGAGTTTTATGGTTGCAATAGCCAAATATACAACTTCAACAAAGGAAAATGAAATTGTTTTTTGTTATTTATTTATATATTTAGGAAATGTATGAAGGTCTAAGAAATAAACAATACTAAGAGATGGAGCATTTAGTGTACACACAACCTCCTCAACCAGCCTCACTAAAACCAAAAAGTTAATTCTCTAAGCTTTGAGATAGTGGAATACCTCGGCTTGGTGCAACTTTGAGATAACAAAGAACTCATGTGAAACATTTAAGGAGAATTTCAACAAGTGCATACATGAATTAACTAAGTTGTTTAGTGGAAAAAGAAATATCATGACTTATGGTAATGAGGTGTAGGGATCTCCCAATAAGTCTATGATAAACAATTCCATCAAAGAGATGTTATGTTAAATATTTGAAAAGTTTGATTGATGGACCAAGAGGATTACTATTAGGCTTAAAATTGTGAGAACATAATTGTAAATTAGTTCAAGAAATACTTTCTATAATATAGAGAAATACCTTGAGACGGTTGTGTAACCTTATGACTTAGGAAGAACTTGAGTTGACCAATATTCTTGATGCAAAATGATAAATGAAGTGTTCACTACTACAAAATATACTTTTGGTAACACCATATTACTACAGTCGTTTAAGCAACCATAGTAATAACTCATCTTAATGCGACTGAATTTATTTTTATTTTATTAAAACACATTTCATCACGGGTCATAATAACAACCGTGGTGATAGATGAAAGGTTACATGCTTCAAATTCCAGCACTAATAATTTTATTTTTATTTTTTCGTTATAAAAAGAGATTGTCCTTATACTCTTATAAATATATTAAAATTAAAATACCTATCACCACAGTTAGTACCAAAAACCATTGTGAATGGTACTTACATTTTATCACGGTTTTTGTTACCACAACCATAGTGATAAGTATTATACATATATAAGCAAAGTTATCAATCTTCAGCAAAGAATAATCGTCTCTCTCAAAATACAAAACCCTAACATCTCTCTCTTCCACATTCAGCGAACTCGTATCTCTTCTTCTTCCAGATAACTCGTCTTTCTTCTTCTTAATACTAAAAGATAATCAAGTTAAACATTGTTTCTTCTTTATCTTTCTTCTTCTTCTTCTTCTTCTAAAAGTTAATCATGTTATTCATACAATTTCTTTCGCTTTTTACATAGGTTCTAATATTTATCACTTTTAAAAAAATTTCAAAGTACGTCATTCCAAGACCTATTCATTCCATTTGGTGTTACAAAGGGTTCTCATTTGGCACGGTGTTTTTTTATTTCTGTTTCACATGATTTTTGTGTTTTTTAGGTTGTCTCTACTTGGATCTCTATTTTTGAAATGCTCAATTCATTTTTAACATATTAAAAGACAATATAAATGGGAAAGTAGTCACCATATATGTTTCAAGTATGATTGTGTTCTTCTTAAAAAAAATTCAAACTTCCCAAATCTCGTTTATGTTCCATTTTATGTTTAACATTTTGTTTATAGGATTACAATGTCATGCTACTTTACGTTTCTAATTTTGGTTAACATGTTGTTTATATGATTGCAATGTCAAGTTATTTTATGTTACCTATGAGATATTGGATCGAACTCTAGAATAGTCGAAGTCTGTTCACGAGTAATGTGTGTCGTAGTCGAAGTTTGTTCTAACGTGCATTAGTCAATATTGCTAGGTTGTTAGCATGTTGAATTGGGTCTTACTTGTAAGCTCAATTGTTTAAGTTAGTTTGTAATGGTTAATTGTTAAAAAAAAACCCATTAGGTTTGTGTGCTAATTTTCTTATAAATAGCATGTCAGTCTCTCATCTTGTGAATAAGGAAAAATAGGAAGATAAAATCCTAATTTTAAGAGAGATAGGTTATGTTGCAGTGAGAATCGGATATCAAGCTATTAATTAACTTGAATCTTAATTCATGAAATTCACCACCGAGCTTTGATTTATCCAAAGGAAAGGGTAAATATCGAAAGAAAACCCTAAGTGCGCTATGTAACAACACAACTAAGAGATCTAAGGTTCGGGGGTTGGTTATACCTAGGGAAGGTGTTATAATTCTAAGTATCTGTAGTACTCTACAGGAACCTCTTGCTAGTATTTGTGATATGTTAATGTTTGCTTGCTAAGGGAAAGGTGTAAAGGTAAAGACCTAGGGTATATACACTAAGTATGCTCGCTAAGACATCGCATATCGTGCCTACGTATCCTAACAAGGATGGAATCAGAGCAACCGTAGTTCTCCTAACTAGGGATGAGGAACTCTTGATAACAATCAAGGTTCCAGAGGGGAAGTAAGTATCCATAACCATGACACTTACACAGAGTTAACCAACTCTCTAAGTCTAAATTGAAAACTAACTAAAGAAGTTGACTTTAATCAAAGTCAAAGGGGAAAGTGAGTACTCATAACCATGATACTCACATAGAGCTCACCAACTCTAAACCTAATTCTAAGTTGCAAGACCATATGGTTTTAACCAAACCTAAAGGACAAAGATGATAG